CCCGCTCTTTGTCCCCAGCAGAGGAGTGGTAATAACGACAGAATGGTATAGGTAAAGTCAGGGCGAAGGTCGGTCTGTGCAGTGTAACGTGTTCAGTGCTGCACCTGAATTCATTTATGTTGGATGTCTTAAACTTGAATTATTGTATTAGGCTTCATTATTTCAGTATCTGGTATCACAATTAAAAAATCACTGTTTTTCTGTCTTGGAACCTGGATTGTTTCTCTTTCAGATGTCAGAATTCAGCTGATGTTTTAGGGAAAAGCCTTGCAAATCTGCAGAAAGAATTTAATGACATCCTTGCTGATGCTAAGAGAGAAAAAGAGGAAGCGTGGGCTAGACAGAGACAATTGCAGGAAGAAATGGTATCCCAGCAGGAAAAACTGGAAGAAGTAGAGGAGAATTATAGACAGGCATGTATCAAAACAACAAAAGCAAGAGTAAGACAATTTCAGCTTAGTCTAAAACACTGTAACTTGCAGCTGGAAGATCAAGTTTCACTAGGATGTGGCTCTCCTACCCTCCATTTCCAGAGAAGTATAATCTTACTGAAAGTAGACAAATTGAATTCATTTGCTTGTCAGAAACACATTTGACAACTTGCATTAGAGCAGGATGCTGTTACTCGCGATGAGGAATACTAACCAGTATTAGAGTTTTGATTTTCCTGTTGTGCGCAAGTGTATGTCATGTAGTAATTTTCATTATAAAGCAACTGTATAAGTAGGTAAAAGCTTCTGAAGAGGGAAAACTCTTCTGATACAAAGTATGCTGGTAACTGCATTTCCTAAAGAGTTATTTGTATAAATCACTAAAATAGGGTGGCTTTTGGTTGAAAAATTATCTATTTCTGGCTGCTCATTGTAACTTATTTCACTTATAGGTTAAAGCTGAAAACAGGCAGAATAAGAACAAGGTCGATCAGTTAGAGAATGAAATTCAACATTTACATGAAAAAATAAAGAGCATGGAAGAAATTCAGGGCCTTGCTGATCAACAGCTCCAAGAGGCAAATGAAGAGAAAAAGACTATTCTTGCTCAACTGGAAGATTTAGAGAAAAGGGTAGGAATGAGTGAGGACAAGTCCTCGCACTGTGTTTGCTCATGAAAAGATGTAAAAACGTCTGATTTTTTTGGCTTTCTAAGATAGATCAAATACAGGAAGGAACGCAGAGGTTAAATATAACATTTTTATTTTCCTTAAATTTAATTGGTC